TTGTTCATTGAAGTGGTTTCTGCAGCCATCTGAAAAGCCATGAGCTGTCAACTGTCAATCAACACAAATGACCATCCTAAAATTCCTGGAGCCCAACTTGGTATATCCAGATAATAATAATAATAAGTATTATTATTGTTGTTGTTGTCGTCTGATCATCAGCCAGAAAACCACAAGTTAGTTACTATTTACCATGATATAAAATAGACAGCAAAACGCAATAAATCTTCACATTTGAGAATTTTTAAAGGTTTGATATTTTAATAGCAAGATTGCTATTTTTGTTTAATGGGGATATTGAGGATGGAACTAGAACACATTTGATAAATGATCAGCAATTCAGGGACCTGAAGTGGCATCACATAACGCCTCCTCCACTCCCAGTGGTTCTTCACTTGCCAGACGATAACAGCAGTTTGCTGCTAAATGCGGCTTTCCCTTCTTCTTTTCCGCTACTCATACAGTGACAGAGTGATGACCCATTTGAATTTGTCTTGCGGGTTTTGCTGGTGGTGAAAACAGTTTGGGGCCTGCACACACAGAGACATCACTGAAAAATAGCCAGATTAGAGCAACACTGCACCCCACAGGCAGAAGGCATGAGCAAAGGTGGAGAGAAAGTAGGTCAGAGGGAGGGGAGGTAGAGGGTGTATGAATGTCAGTAGGGGGTAAATAGAGACAGATGCCAGATAGAGGGTGGGAGATGGGACAACAAGAGAGGTTGATGGGATGGAGATAGAGAATATTTGCTTTTTCTTTTACATCCACTGCTGTTTTTTAAATTAACAGGTTCGTTTCTGAGAAGGCGATTAAGCTAGCCGCACCTACATTTGAAATGCACACGTATTCAAGCTTTTATGGTAACTGAAACGGACCAGAGCGAGCTGACAGGCAGGTTAGTGACTTTATCATTTGTCATTTTCACTCTCTACATAGAGAAGTGTTGCAGTATGAGAGTCTGACCTGAAGAGAGACTATGAAGTCTTCATGTTATGCGAGAACCACATTCAACATTTATCATATTGGGTCGGACTTGATGAATTTAGCGCGAGGATACACGTGACAACGTTCTGTTTCAAAATAAGGTGTCTATACTGTGTACATTAAAAGTGAATGGACGCATGTAATTTACTTTACTGGGGCCTCAGACCCACACCCATAGTCTCTCCAAATCCTGGGAAACATTGAGTAAAAGCACATTTTGACTATTTAATTTATGCAATGGTTAAAAAAAATGGAAAAAATATGAATGTACTTGTTCGGTGTTCAGCAATTTTTTTCATTATATTAAGTTTTGGCTTTGGCCAAGAATTTTCTTTTCGGTGCATCAATACCTAGGAGAGAGTATTTTACTGAAAGGAACAGAGAATATGTCACATCTATCAAACTTACAGCCTACCTGTACTGTCAGACACTGTGATAGCTAACACTGGATTTAGTTTTGCAGTGAACCAGTAGTAATGCGAGTGTGCAGATGCTGTATCAGGATACTGAGAAGTCAAAGATAAAGTAGATATTGGTTTTAACCATAGACTGTATATAAAAAGGTTTGTGTATTTTTATTTTTTTTTAACTGTCCCTGTCTTCTTCTTGAAAAACAGAAACTGAGAGCAGCTGTAGAAGTGGATCAGAGATTGAGGTGGTTTATGGATGGCATAGCAATGTGCAATGTGTTAAAGTGAACAGCAGATGGCGCTAATAGCATGCCATTTTTGGGTTCTTGTTGGAAAGTAAATCAACTGTGGGTCCACCTGGAATACCCTATGCCAAATGTCATTTTTGGCTGACTAATTATTAGGGTACTACTATGGTTGGGTTTTTTTGCACTAAATATACTTACACAGTGAATCAGATGACACATTATACTGTTTGGGATTTTTTAAATACAATGACAAAAGTTTGATGAAGATGCAGAATAACAACATTTAAAATCTGTAACATGCATGTGTACAGTCTCAAATATTTGTCTTCTGTCAGTACTGCAGAATTTGTACATGAGTAAGGAAAACTATTCACTGTATGTCTGTACTATAGTAAAGGACATGTTGACCTTCACTGCCCGACTTCTCTGGACTCACAGCCTACTGTGCCATATTGCTATTCTCCAAAGGTTATGTTCCTGTGTAGTTGTGTGTATGCCTTCACCGGTACATTTGCACTTATAAAATGATGTGCTGGTATCAGCATTCACATACGTGCATTTCCTCTGAGCAGCTTCTTTGTCATCTATTCATCATCTCCCTTCTCACTCCTCTCTCTGGCTGGGGTGAGAAACAGGAGGTCCATGGAGAGAGCTGTAAATGGCTGAGGAGCTGTGTACCGGCTGGTTTTGCATTGTTGCAGGTACAGTAGGTAAAACCCCTTTCTTGATTAATACAGTATAGCGCCTCATCAGCAGTGAGAACGTGGACTGACAGCATACCTGAAAATATGGGATATAGGTCACTTTTCTTTTTCAGTTTCTATATTCTCAGGTGATTTACACTAGATTAACTTTCACTTATTTGTCAGCCTTACTTAAATGTTATTGCCATAACATGTAGATATAGGTAATTGTGTGCTGCAGAGTGTCCTCTCAGAAAGTGCAACAGGGAACACTCTGGCATTGTCATTTAGAGACACAAAGAGAGAAAGGCAGACAGAAGTTACTAGATATTCCCATGGCGTTAAAACCATAGGTTCAAACACACATTCCCCAAAGCTGCATGCTCTATCTACCCTTTCTTGATCTCCTCTACTATACATGCGCTACTTTATCTTTTTTCCTTTCATTTTGCTCCAGAGCTCTCAGACTTGGATTTTAGCAACTTGGACAAAATACCATGCATGGAATGTATACAAATTCAAGATGGTCTAATTAGTGTCTGGTATGCTATTTAGAAAATGCCCACTTCTACAGCAGTGTGGGTGTGATTTTCTATTCCTCTACATTTTATATAGCATAAGTGTGGGTCTTTATTCAGGCTTCTCCACTCCTGCAGCTCCAAAACAGAGCTTAAAGGGCATTAGGCTTTATTTAGCAAATCCCTCTCCCTTCCTCCTCCCTTATTCTACATTCTCCACTAGCTGCATAACCACTATACATATCTTTTTATTTGTAAATGGCCAAATATACACTTTCGAGAGACATGTCCAGTATAGTATTTTGATGGTATTACAGTACACTGAGCAAATAGCCACAATATTTCGTTTCATATTATGTCTGGCAGTGAGGCCTCAACACCAGCATAATGGTAGATGTCTCTTTTGATTCTCAGTGAACACTAGATGGCAGTGCAGGAGAATAGGCTGGTTGTCTTGAGTGAGCATGAGTGAGACAAGAGGGGTAATGTAGAAGAAAATAGGAGATGGAAAGAGAAAGTGATGGGAAACAGAGATATAGAGAGAACAGAAAAGACGATGTAGATAATAGGACAAAAGAAAGGGAGGCAGCAGAAAACATCAAAAAGGGGAGAAGGTAAAGTGGGTGGAGGAGGGACCCTGTCCTTGAGAGCATCTGCTGGGTGTCAAGACAGAGGAACTGGGCATGGAAAGACATAGGCATGAAAGGAGGGAGGAGGCAAGTGACAGAATGAGCCACATAGAGGCAGCGTGACAAAAACAACAGGGTGAAAACAGGGAAAGGGTGAAACAGTAAATGAAAAAGAAAGAAGTGATAAATGAGAGAAAGACCGATTTAGAGGGAGGGAGTCACCATCACATGGGCTTAAGCATGACTTGGGAGGATTCATTGGACATACAGACACATGGCTGGCTCTTGTTAAAGCTTGACTGAAAACAGACAGAAAAAGTGGACAAAGAGATACTAATTTGTCACAGTACAGACTGTAACACCCATACATCACACAGTTTGCTCTCCTAAGACTCAATATTTTTTACACCTATTTTCTTATTAGATATTGCTCTGTCTATAATTAAAGGTCCGGGATAGTGAGGGATGTCACTATAAGAGGGGTCAGCAGGTGTCTCTCGTCACAGGAAAGAAATACACAAATTGGAGGCTTTAAACAGTCATAATGGAGTATTGAAGTTTATTTCTCCTGGTATGTTTCCTTAGATATTTCTCACATTTTCTATGAGGCTTGCTGAATAATATTAGGAACAAATGCATAATAAACAACTCTCAGCTAGTGGTGAAAAGGACTATCAAGTTATCTTTATGTAGAAAATGTTACCGTTGCAACATTACATTAACAATGATTTAATTAGTCTAATGTATATATAAATTGTACATTGGTACAACATTGGTAATTTGATTGTGCTTTTATTAATTGTGTTTTTTATTTTCTTAAATTATTAACAGTATTATGTAAATTCCCTCTGCTTTTTATTTTTTATAAAGATTTTGATTTGTCTTTCTGATTGGGTTTTTTGTTTGTCTGACCTTGCAAAAAAGATTAAATACATGTGTATGATTGACAAAGAAATTGCATATTTATTTTTTGAATTAAATTGAAATGGCTACAGTAGATTGAAGATTAATACATGATATGAACTGTAGGACGTGTTATTTGGACATTACTTAATTTCTATAATACTGATACTGTACACAATTTAGAATACTACTGTGACTACGATGACTACTACTGATATCACTACTAACAATAAAAATTATAATCTTAGCCCTAATACTTATAACAATAGACAAAAATTGCTTGTTGCATTTTCCCTGGTTTATTCCCAGATTAAATTTTTTGTGGTAACGTATTACTTCAGCATTTTATTTGTCATCATTGTTTTGTAGGTTAGCCTAATTGTCAGTCTCCTCTGCTCTTTGGTTTGTCCACATAAACACTCACCCCCTCTCTTCCTCTCTTTCTCTCCACCCTCTCATAGATAATTAATCAGAAAACACAAGCGCACACCCCTCTCAGGGAGGGGGTTTGCTTGTTGTTTGCAGCTGTAGCCTGCGTTGCCATGACGTCACGCTGATCGATCCCCGTCCCTGTGCAGTGGGAAAACACAGAGACAGAAAGAGGCAGCAGAGTGAAACAGGCAGGCAAAGAGAAGGGAAGGTGGGAGGGAACAGGGAGAGGAGAGACAGAGAGAGGGCAGAGTGAAACCACACCTTATTATAAGAGCAGACGGGACACAGGCAGGGGCACACAAGCAGCTACTACAGGAATAGTCACTGTACCGAAGGGTGCAGGGCCAATATTTTGTGCAGTGGTGTGCTGTTGTAGAGTCTGTGTATGTGTGAGTCCTCATCATGGGCTGTTATTTGGCTCACACCTGCAGGTTTCTGTCTCCGCTGGCAAATAATTCATGCCATTCACCAATGGGCAGGCTCAGCACACAACACTGACATAAGGTAGGGTGTAGCAGAGGGGTATGTGTATGTGTGTGTATTTAGTGTAATTTGTGTGTATTTGCACATATGTGATGGCTTGTTACGTGCCTGTATTTGAATGTATAAACGTGTGTGTATTTAGTGTATACACACACAATTGTTTGTCAAGCAAGAAGGGTTACTAATGTCTGGTTCTCTTGGGCCATGTTGTCAGGAGATTCAAGCTGTAAGCCATGTGACTCTACAAAGAGCTGCAGGGATTGGCTGAGACCATCTCTGACCTCAGCAAACTGCCTCCGCCCCTCCTCAACACTACCACCCCACCCCCCCTTGCCAAACACACATACACACACATAACCCTCCCTCCCTCTCAGTCTCTGTGCCTGCCTCCCTCCCTCTCTCTACCCTGCCTCTTTTATTTATTTATTTTCCTCCAGTTAGCTTTTCCCCCTCCTCTCAGCATCCTCGGCTGAATGTGTAGGTTAGAGCCGCAGTAGCAGCAGCAGCAGCAGCAACAGCAGCATCCATGGCTTAAGCCCCAGCTCTGATCGGCAGCTAGCCCCGCCAGGCCCCTACCCCTCCTTTCTCTCTTTCTATCTCTCTCTGTATCTCTGTCCCTCCTGGGCTAGTTGACAGGTGACGTCTGGGGGTGTCGGAGGCTCACAGTTAGCCAGGGCGTTAGCCACATGCACACAGCTACTCTGCTGCCCATCAGTTCTACTGTATCTCTCTGGTAACCGGGGGCTTCTTCTCTTCTCCCCCTCCCCATACACCACCTGCTTTCATTTCAGGCTCCTTGGAGATAGAGGAATGCAAATCTGCAACCATGATGGAAGGTAAGATGAGTTTCTTTTTACAATTATTCTTTCCTATTTTCTGTTGTAATTCAGGGTTATACCCCTTTATGTCCTTGTCTTACAGCGCTTTATCTGCTGGCAAGCGTGTGTATGTGTGTGTGTTTGGGAGGTTCAGATGTCATAAGCTGCCCTGCTATTTTGAGTGCATACATTCCGGTGACTTGCATGTTATTAGGAAAAGGGCACAGCCACTGAATGTCTACAGAGGCACAATGGCGAGGCTAATTGAACCGTGTGTACCTTTTGTGAGTCTGTGTGTGTGCATATGTCTGCGTACCCCTCAACCCCCCTTTTACCGCTTCCCATCGTAAAGGATTATTTGGATTTATTGTGCAGCAGGGCTTATGTGCCCAGCTGGCTCACTTGTATAAATTCTCTTTGTATGGTGTACTCTGAAGCACTTGCACACGCAAGCATACACACTCACAGTACCATATGACTCTGCTGTGTATCTGTTCACACTACATTGCCATTTTACCAAGCACTCGCATGTGGATTACATGTCCGTACAGAAGGGTGCATGTGTACATTTATACCCACCCATGGTTGGACTGATCCATCTCTATTGGGTAGAGCCTAGTGAGGAAAAAGAGAATTGATGACTTGTTTTAGATTTATGTCCCTTTAATTGATGACATCATCAGGGGGAAGGCCAGTGATGGAGGGATGAATCCCTACAGCTCTGCAGCTGGCACACGAAAGCCTCCTTCCATCCATCTGTTTTATAGAATATCTGTCATTTCTTATCTTTCATGTTGTTCAGAGATCCTATATTTAACAAATACTGGGCATTTGTTTGACCAGAACAACCTAAATATGTTGACTTTTACTGAATCAACCTTGAATTATGTAAGCTTTCATTGTCCATGATACATAAGCAACATTTGAGGCAGCGAACGTGAGGAATTAAGGATATATGTAAAGGTCATTATTGCTTACAATTTTAACCATTAAGTTACGTACATTTCCTTAAAGTGGTAATTGTTTGTCTGTGTTCCAAAAAAGCTAGACAATGTTGCGTGCATTCAAGCTGTTTATACCGGTGTGTTTAGGAAATTAACTCTGTTCCATGGTGTCTGCTGCTAAGGAAGAATCTCATTAGCTTGCTGTCTGGTTGTGTTTTTGTATGATGTGTGTCTGTCTATCAGTGTTTCAAAAGGAATGATGTTATTGCTGCCCGGTCATGTGTTGTTGGCTCTCAGCAATCTCACACCGGAGAATAAAAAAATGTTGTTTCATGGTAACATAGTAGCTTGGTCATTTAAAACTAGGTGTGGATTTGAAAAGTGGGCAGGAACCTATATACTGATTTTGTGACAGGTCTCAGATAGTTAGCAGTTTCAAATAATTTGGATGTGATTTTCAGCAATATTTGTCTGCCATACAGTATATAATTCACAGTCCTAAACCACATTATTTCTTATTTCAAAGGCTGACCTTACTGACTGGTTTGGAAGTTAACACTTAGGTAAAACACAGAAAATTACATAAAATTCTAAACTGACCACCACCACATACCAAACAGGAAGTTCTTACCTCATGTTAAACAGTGAAAATTGCTTTAAAAGCTTTTTTTCTGAATGTTTGGTAACAGTGTATTAAACTGCCATGCAACTGTATCATGGCAGTTGCATGGTAGTTGGACAGTCTGGAGCACGTTGTAAAGACAACAATCGTCACAGCAACACTGTTTGTCACATACACATCATTATACAAACTACAAACTGCTCTGTAAGCATATAATTTAGATGGTGACCATGATAAAGGCTACACCCTTTCTGCCCTTGAGAGCTGTTTTGTAGCACATAGCCAGGTTATGCACAGTTATGTCTAAAAAGCTTATGCTTATTGTGCAGATATAGATGCAGGATAAATAATTATAAATATTAGATCCTTCAATGTGTTAATAACATAGCCAGTTGTTAAGCCATAACCATCCCAAAGTGACTGATTTGTTTTTTTCCCCTCAAGTGGTAAGTAATTTTTCAGTTAAGAATTCTCCAACAGTAAGAAATGATGAGCAAATCTATTACTCCCTCTCCCCTGCAAGTATGCTTTTCTGTCATCGACTGCATTTGTCACGAGCCAAGTTGTTAGGTAACAGTTGCAAAGAAAAAAACAGACTGTCTGCAAACCGCTTCCCTTCCATTAGCATGGCTAGCACAGGCTTAGCATGGACTGTGTGAGAGCAGGATTATAGTCAGGTGTTAAAATTGGATGCTAATCCTTGTTAGCTCTGCTTTTTAAAGCCCCATGCCATCATGGTTGTCCCATGGTAGAAGACATAGAGTGATTACTTTATTTTAGTTCAAAGGGAAAGAGGCAGGCATTAGTTTGTGCTAGTATTAGTGACGACAACCATAGACACTAGATAAAAGGAGGTTGTGATAAATAAAACTGATGGTGAACTGTGACCTCCAAATGATAATTAGAAAAAGGCAAGTTCCCTACAGTAAAACCAAAATGAAAGTTAGTTTATAGTTTTATAAAGGCATTTTTCTGTGCTGTTTTTTTTCTCTAAAAGACCCTCTCCCCCTATAATTTACAACAGTCGTAAGAGTAATTACCTTGATCATTTGCTATGAATTTCCTGGGTTTACTGCAAGTAGGATTACTGCATCTGTGGTTCTCGTGCACAGTGTCTATACATTATTGCTTGGCAGATGTCATTTCAAGTAACAAATCTCCTGTGTGCTTTTCTGTATGCATGAGACACTGCACTTGTGTGTAATTTACTCAACTCTCCTTAAGGTAATCATACTGATGCAGCTTGGGATTCCGGATCCCGTTGGACTTTGAGAATAAGAGCTGTAAGGAGGAGGCTCAGATATCATCAAGACAAAAGTAAAGTTTAATAAATTCAATTTCTAAGTGTATAAGAAAAATGTATCACTTACAAATTTAGATAACATCGTGACATCAGTGACTAGTCTTTTTTAATGACCAGTAATCTTACGGTGCCTGAGGATGGCAATTTTCATTTCCTGCCTAACACTAACACAGATTGTCACGATATGTCTGACTTTTATGGAAACAATGATCCACAATTGATTTGGTAACCCTCTAAAGCTTTCATCTAGCACCATGTTTGGTCAAAGTAACATTTTATCTTGAAAACCAGTGGGTTGATTACCAGGCAGTAGGTGACCTGACCTTTGCTGTAGCACTACCATCAAACCAAAACTTCCCCTCCCAATCTAACAACCATGGCATTTTCTGAAGCTCCCGAGAGCCTAAACATTTTGCATTTTGGACACCTCTTGTACCACCTTCAGGTCAAATAGTAGACTCTGTATACAAGATTTCTCATAATGTTATTGGTCAATTGGTATAAAATCCCAATGCGGAAAACCCATTTGATTTTAATGTACCCACGGCAGCCTCTCGTGGCCGCTAGCAGGGCTTCGGACTTGTAGTCTTGTTAATCCTAGTTATAAATCAGACTGCCACACAGAGGCCCAGTACAGAGGTCACCGGGCTGAAACTTGGATAAACCCTTGACTGGAATGCTACAGTGTAGAGGGCAGTGAGGACACATGGCCAAATGGTGGGTACCACTTAATTCCTGTAATGGTCTATTACCTAACAACATCATATGAAATGAAAATGAAACTTAATCATTATTTGCTTTTGTGATTATAGCTTAGTTGGGGGATTCTCACATAGTTAAGAGTATAATTACTTCGGTTTTGCTATGAACCAATTAAAAACAAAAAGTTCTAAATTCCGTGTCTATCTGGTTGAGCTCATGGCACATAAGCATACAGGTTCATATCCAGTGACTCAGCTTGTCCAAAGCATCTCAGCATGAAAGATAATCCATTTCAATTTAGTTGTAATGAAAACAACATGATATTGCTTCTGAGATCCCTGTGGAATAACTAGTGTGTGTTGTTTATGGATGTAGTGCTAGCCCTTAGACTACAGGACATTAACCCTTCACTATTATCAACTAAAGCCAGGCTCAGGCTACTGGAGTTTTGAGTCTATTTATCCCTGATCCACCCCTCCCGACATTTGGAGGAGAAACCTGGTCTTGGGACCTTGTTCATCCCAGGATCATCTGGTAATGTGAGGGGTCTTAAATCTCCCGAACTGCTTGCAGACTCATTAGGGTCTCCCCTATAATGTCAGTACTTACTGAGCGGGACCACAGTAGGCAATGAGAGATGTCTACAAGTACACTACAAGGAACTGTTAGTCCCGGAGCAGCTGACAGTGTTGCAAAGCAATGGTAAACATTCTTGCACTTGAGGCTAACATTAGTTAGCATACTACTGTTGACAGATATTAAAACTGAATGTTAAAATCTCACCTCCAGTTCTTGCTGAACACTCAATAGACAACCCTTGTTAACCGCGTCTTCCCGAACCATTTTCTCATTCAGACTCATGCCTTCTGCTTTTGTTTTTACATCAAGTTGTTGCACCGCATCAGTCTCCATTTTGTTTACATCTGCTTCCCAATGACATCACATGAGATCAAGTGAGGTGGTGCATTCCTCTATCTGGAAAGATAATAAAAGAATCATATATGCTATTTCATCTTCAAGGCCTACTGGCATGAGCAAAAAAAATGGGGTTGTGGAACAGAGTCATGTATTCCATTTTTTCTCTTTCAAATCCCTAAGCTGCATTAAGTGGAAGTTTTTTCTTCCTTGCATCCAATTGGCTCTAACTATTGCACTGAAGGATGCTGACATATGGTTTCCCGGGTAATGACAGTGAGGCTATGTGCTGGGCAGAGGCTCCCAAGTGCAAATTTTCTTTGATTTCTGAATAATTAGGTATTTGGTGTGTTGATGTGGGCACAGGGATGGTGCACCAGGTCTGTCCATGTTGGTGAGAATGTATTTCCCCTTGAAGCTTTATATGTAAAGATTGTGACACTGTTCCCTATTAAAGTCCCAAATGAGTAATTTAATGTCTTGCCATCGGCCCAAACATATAACTCATGTGGGCTGATGCATCGGAAACAGCCCTCAGTCGCCTAGCAGATATTTTATGATGGGTTGAAACAGAGCAGCATACCGTGAATGTGAAATGCAGAATTGTATCTCCCTGCCATTCCTCAAAATTTGTGTCACTAATTCTGCATCATGAGTCATAGTGTGAGTCTGTGTTTCTCCTGGGATTAGTCTAATCTAGTCATCCGTAGACACAGCCATACACACACTCACATATCTATCCATCCACTTTTCATAGTGAATAAAAGCTGTAAAACTGACGGAAGCCAGTGATGCTGTGCAGTGAGTAAACCTCACCCGACACCTTAAGAGGCGCACTGGCGAACGTCGCTATTGCCCATGGGTTTTAGCCTCCTCGTCAGCGTGTCAGTCAGGTCTGTGCAGTACATTCTCGGGAGCAGCCAGTTACGTAAACACACAGGTCTTAGATTGTTGTAGTCCCCAGATAGTGATTAATTGGATATTTTGTATGTTCAGCCACCAGGCATATATCACAGAGTTGTAAATATAACTGAGACAGAAAGCGACCAACAGACACATTGATGTTAGGGGCAGTCATGTCAGGGCTGTTTGTAGTTCTTCAGGAAATTCCTACACTGGAGCACAGTAGAAGTGGCATGTTACTGCTTTAATAACATGTAAATAGTACATGTGTGTCCAAATAGCAACTGTGTACATTGACATGTCGCCTCAAAAACATGACTGAAATGCCAATTCAGATACAATGAGTGTAATTGCATGCTGAATATATTTAGGTGGGAAAATAGCTAAATTTCGGCATGTTTTTCAGCTGCACACAAATTCATGAAATATGTACAAGGGATGGGGAGGTGATAGATTTCTGACATTGGTATGTATTCTGGATAAGTCAGTAAAGTCTTGAATCCCTGACTAACATTTTAACAATCCCTGACTAACACTTTAATCAACTTACAACATTAGACAATGCTGGCATGAAAAACTTGTGCTTGTATATATCGGTTCAATTATCAAAGTATACATTTGTGTGTGTCTTCCTCCTAAAGTGTGGCAGACGCAGGGGAAAGCTCATTGTTGAATGTGTCTCCATTGAGTGGCTCCATTGTGACTGTGCTAGACAATAAGTTTGACAGAGACCCAAATGAACAAAGATGTGCAGGGGCAGAGACTCAGGAGAGGAGGAGGTGAAGGGAAAGCAGTCTATGAATCTGCTTGTTGCTAAAACTATATTCATTCATTCTTAGACACAACAGCACAGCATCCTTACAACAGCCCTTATAAATTCCGTCTTGTCCTTTGTACAGACACCCACACACACACACACACACACACACACACACACAGCGAAAGCTTATGTAATAATGCCCAAGATTCTGAGCCAGATAAACAGACATGTTTGTGTAATCCAGTGGCAGCTGGCGGAAGATGAGGTTCTCTTGCAGCATAATCAAACTGTTTCCTTGAATGACGTATCAGAATCAACTTGAAAAAAAGTATTTTTCAAATATGTCATCAGGTAAAAACGACTGTTTTTGATGCTTAAGTTGTTTGTGTGTTTGACTAGCCTCTTAACCAGACAAATGTTTTATTCGCTATGGCAGATGCGTCTGGCCCCTCTCACATTCCCTGACTCTGCTAGGCTAGTGTTTGACAGGACTGTGCTTTAAGGACTGCATGTGATTTAGCAGGTGATTTTCCTTGACTAAATAATTTTTTCATACTTTTAAAAATCACTGTCCAGTGCAATAGTTGCTTATTTTCTTCCCATCAGTGCTGTACTGGTTTATTAGGAGTCCAAGCCAGAGTGGGGCTGGGAATCCGCGAATGCAAGGCATTGTGGTTCCCAGTACCAGCAGAGTGTGGAACCCTATTGTAATCATTATGGTTTACAAAAACTTATACTGCAGCCTAGACGGTAAGTGCTACAGACGCGAAACTCAGAATGTAGGTCCAGGTCTCGTCAATGACCTCAGGTGTAAAAATTTGCATGCTTCTACCTCCAGAGGGCACTATAACCAAGGTCACTTGGGCTTGGAACTCCCACATGCGAAGGAGCATATCAAAGGATCGAGCTAGCTGTAGAGGAAATTTTGATACGCGAAAAAGTGTCCTAATTAACGATTGTTTGCGAAAAACACTAAAAACAGGACGTGATGTCATATCTCAGGTTTGCAACATCCGATTGACACGAAACTCGCGGACCTTAGCGGGAACGCCCTCTCAAGGGGCTGTGTGACATTTGGTGTCAATCGGCTTCTTGGTGGCGCTATTATTCGTACATAAAATAACTCTCCCATAGACATACATTCATTTTGTATCTCCGTAACCGCAAGTCCCTTTAATTTCAAACTCTGGGCATTTATTCACTGCGGGCCCCCGAAGCCACGGCGGGGCGCCCGGGTTGACTCAGGCCGCCTCCGTTAGTCTAGTTTAAATTGAAATTTTATACATAGCACATAAAAAGCAAACAGGAAGTAGCACAGCCTGTTAACACGCACACTAGGGATGCTGTTTTCAGCCTAACAGGGCCCACACAGAGATTAGAGGAGCCTGCTGTCAAAACAGTAGGTGAATTGCTGTCAAAGCAATGTGGTCTAATTTAAGGAGTGGCTCTAGTTTTATCAAAAAAAGGTCTAGTGTTGTGGCTGCTGCTGTAACACTAATGCCACCACTGTGATGGCACCATGCGTGTCTTTTTTGTCATGGTTTTGACTATGGCAGGAAAAGTCTCAGGTGGATCAGTCAACAGGCAGAATTCAGACGAGAACCAATTAAATGAAGTTCGGTACTCTGATGATGATTTCTGTGCTGTGGTGTTGTCACTGATTGTTACATAAGTTTTATTTGTGAATTGTTTTTGAATGTCACGCTGCAGTGTCTGTTTGACTGACTCATCATC